GCCATGAGCTGAGCACACTAGAGCCTTGGTGGCTTATGTGGTAGTGCTTGGGAGCCCTCTAACTCACTCTAGCTTGATAGTGTTCATCCGATTGAGTGAGTGAGCGATTCTAGTGCGATTGCATCATGAGGTTGCTCTTAGAGGCTTATTACTCTTAGAGTTGCAAGCCGATGGTGCTTATTACTCTTAGAGGTTGCCACCTCCTAGACAGCTTGGTGGTGATCGAGTTGCAAGCCGATGGTGCTTATTACTCTTAGAGGTTGCCACCTCCTAGACAGCTTGGTGGTGGTCTCTGTCGAAGCCTATAAGAAGCTTGTGCGGTGCTCCAGAGAAAAGCTTTGTGAGGGGCATTGTGCTCGTCCCGCGGGAGCCGCGAAGAGCAACTCTAGTTGAGCGTGTCATTGAGCTACCCTCACTTTCTGGGTAGGTTCTTGCGGTGTTTGATGTGCGGGCTTGGCGGGTGATGCCAATTAGCCGCCGAACCACCAAGTGAGCGGTTGACACAATGGGGACTAGCGTGTTGGCAAGCACGTGAACTCCGGGAGAAAAATCACCATGTCAACCTTGTTCTTCCCATTGGTTTACATCCTCGTTACACAAGCTTGTAATTACTTTCATATACATTGTGCTTATATAGTTGCTCTTATAATTAGTTAGCTTGTGCAGCTCACTAGTTACCTTCTTGCTTATGTAGCATAGAAGTAGCTCCCTTATGTGGCTAATTTGGTTTGTGTAGCCTTGTTTGTCACATTGCTTAGTTTGTGTAGCTAAGTAATTGCGCTCTCTAATTTAGCATTGGTTGTCTTGTTATTGAGCATTGCTAGTGAGCTTAGTTGGCTTTGTGCTTTTGCTTACTAGCATGTGTAGGAGCTCCCCGTTGCTTAAAGTACTAGTGGCATAGGTTTGTGTGACATTGCTTCTAGAATTGATTAGGTGAGCTCTAGCTAGCCCAACACCTTAGTTACATAATTAGGATCTTTGTAAGGTGCTAGAGAACATAGATAGAGGGGTGTAGTCTTGGCTAGACCAATTGTTTTAATTCTGCATTTGTTTCGGTTAGCCGGCGCGATTAGAATTTGATAACGACTATTCAACCCCCCCCCCTCTAGTCACTATCTCGACCTTACAAACTTGTCATTTTGGTAAAGGTAGATATACTTATCCAAATGGCATAAAAATTGTACAGTATACTATTAAGATCATTTGTAGGCTACTGTAATTTTCTCAGAATTTATTAAGCAACGGAAATATTTATCCTATAAATCACCTTATTATCTAAGGAAATTAATAAATGGATATCAATAATTTAGTTATCTTTAACCAAGATGTTTTCTATGGTACTTGTGATGCATATGATCTGTGGATATTATTAGTTAGGCTTAGAAGTAATTGGTTGTATGCAACTAGTTAATTATTGCCTTATAATTCAACTAGATGGCTCTAGGTATAGTTTCGATTGTGGTGATGATTTTATGATGATAATTATCTTTTCTGTAAAGATGGTTAGTAACAGAGTTGTAGATAACTTACTTATCTACCTTATTTTAAATTTTCATAGTCATAGGCTTTATGGTTTAAGAATTATAGCTGTTAGAAGTCTGCTATCATAAATGCTTTATCTCTGGACAGATCTGAATGATTGAATTGTTTGACCTAGATGACTACTGAATCACTTTGAGATGATTAACAGAAAGTTGTAGACAATTTCATAAGCTTTCTAGAATGTCCACAACCATATTATTTTAATGTGTATAACTCCAGTTATGGGCAAAACAAGTGGTTGTTGTCTTGTAGTCCAGAGAATGATTCACATAAGTGTTTGTTTTAGTTACTAGAGAAGAGATATGCACCTACTTAGTAAAAGAAAATATAACTTGTTATCACCTTAATGCAATACTGTTGAAAACACTTATGTGGATGCATTCATCACATCATATCATATTATACATGTCATTATATATGCATTCGTGATATCTTATTTCATACTCATTCATATAGGATCGTCCGAAGGGATAACTCTTCTAGAGTTCAATGAAGAAGAAGAGGAGGATCAGCAGGAGACGCCTCAGGCCATAGCTCCAGGAGAAGAGCAAACTCTCGAGGACTTCCCTGAGTGCTCTGACCACCGGCCAACCTCTTTCCTCAAAGGCAAGCCTCGGAGCATTCTAAGTCTCCTATATTTTACAAAATATCACTTGAGTCCTTTATGTTGGATGCATTAGGTTATAAGAGTTGATTGGAAACACTTGATGTATAGAACTACCTTGTCTAGTTACATATACCTTTAACCCTGTGTAGGTCCAGGATCAAATATATACTTAGCCTGCTTAGACCGGTAGAAGTCGGGTGATTTCCTGTCACCTACGAGATATAGATGGATACCGAAGCACAATTGGCTATATTTGTTATCGTGGAAAAGAACCATGGGGAAATATAAATAGAGGCTGGGTGGAGTCTATGTGTGGGTTGACTCATGTGATTTTGTCTGTGCCGGTTAAGGACCGCACCGTTGTTGGCACTTCTGACAAGATTGAACGCATGCCTCTCACTTAGCTGGCCGGATAACTCGTTCCGACCGCGAAGCCGAGTAGCTCAACTCAGGACAGGCCTTGTTCTGTAAAAGTGCGCACTCTAGATGGTAGTAAGGATGTGCGGGGAGCCAGACGTGAACCCAAGGGCAGGCCGGGCCTGAACGTCCTGGCAGCTGGTTGTCCCTGACTGTGCGACGCTAATCGAACCCGTGAAATGTGAACCTGAGTTGTACCTAAGGTGACCGTTGATCTGGTTTGTCTGGATTTGTGTTAGGAATAAATTCTCAGCTGGTTAAAATCGATTCGAATCGCCGTCTCTCCCAGACAGTGAGAAACTTGGCTAGCTCCAATATTGTAGTAATTGTATTATGGAGTGATGGTTATGATGAACATGGAATTATTATACCGGCTATGGCTACTAATGTATGCTACTAAATGATATACCACATGTTTGACACAGGCTAGTTGCTAATCTAGAGATAAATAGCTATAATTAACTTGATGACCGAATTATAACTGTATACTTAAATTAGTAAGCTTTTTATGCAAAATGTTGTCAAGCTAGCTCCACTTATATTGCCTTACATAATCCTTGAAGTCACTTTATTTTTGGTTTATGATGGCTAAGTCTAGCTAAGTATCTTCTCGTACTCAGGGTTTTCCCATTGTTGCAGATGGTACAGTGTATCATGGCTATTGCAAGAACTGCTTCTGTCTCGCCGTGGACAAGGAGTGAGCCCTGGGCAGGCATCTCTTATTAATCCATCTCATATGCTTTTTGTGGAAGTATGATCGTGGGCTAGCACTATATTTAAACAATGTTGCAGATATTGGTTTCAAACTTTTAATTTGCTTCCGCTACTATTTTACTGAACTCTGTTTGTAATAACCTTAATTCGTACTCTGATGAATAAACTGTATTTGTGAACTTTATGAAATGTGTGACATGTATGTTGAATCATGTACAATCTTGGTTGTATGTTAATGGTTAATCGAGACCATTTGTGGTACTCGATGGACTATCGGGTTTATATGGGCTCAAGTATGACAGTGCGACCGCTTGTAGGCTGTTATTATACGTGTGCTCTTATAAATTAGTCGGTTCTGCTACAGATACCGTTCGGTCCAACGATGCCACTCCACTGAGTCTGTCGCCAGCACGTGCTCTGTGTCTCTTCTGGTCAACCGTCGGACTAAGGACCAGAGTGGTCCGACGGTGCCATTGCCAAGGTCTGACGCCTGCAGATGATCTCCATTGATTCATTTCTTCAAACCTTTGCCAAATGTGCTAGCCCTAAGTATATCTATCACTTATATACGTGTGTGAGTATTTTTCAAAGCATTTTTAAAGGGTTTTGTTAACTCACTAGGTCCTAATGCACATGCAAAACGTAGTTCACCTAGTGACACTTAAATAACCTTATTTCACTAAGAGTTTTCCCTCTTCATAGTACGACTATCTATACTAAACCCGATCACGCACTCTAATGCGTCTTGACCAACAAAAGTAAAAGCCCAAGCTTATACCTTTGCCTTCAATCCATAGGGTTTAGCTTTTCTCCTTCTCTTTCCAAAGTTGGAGCACTTGATCATCACTTATGGCCACCTCCATCACCTTGAGTGTCTTTCTAGCTCCACCTTTAATGTGAACCAACCTATCTCATAAAAAAAACTTAGGGCATAGAGTTAGTTCACTTGGTTGTCTCAATTAGCTAAAACCAAACATAGGGCTTTCATCCGAACATACCTATTAATAAACCTGCTAATTATTAGATAGAGGGTTGCTAACAATTAGTTCCATTAGCAGGTTTGAGCTTGCTAATAGATGCTAATAGTTCATATACAACTTCAATTCACTATCCAACCATATATTAACAGGTGGATCCAATTAGCAACTATTATCTATTAGCTAGCTAATTTTTAGTACTAAGAGCAACACCAAGAGACTCTATATCCTTCCTAATGGCTAGGAAGAAAGATTTTGGTGAAAATACTCTCCAACAGCTTCTTTAAATCGTTATCCAAATATAACAATTTTTATTTTAGATTACTCGCTAACCAAAGATAGAAAGCGAGGATTACTCTCTAGAGTACATACAAGATATAAAAAAACTGTGGAGAGTGAAAAGATAAAGAAAACGATTTTTATGCAAGACTCTTAAATAATGATTTAAAAAGACTCTTGGAGATGCATGCTCTAATGTCTTTTTATTCTCGGAACACCCCTGCGTCATCCATGCCTCATATATGATATGGACTCACAACCTATGTTTATACGAATTAGAATGACTCACGTCTAGTGATGGTACGATATCCAATTCCAAAACATAATGGAACATGTTACAACACGTAATCACGTTTGTTAGTTAAGTCATAATAATAGAAGGGTGGTTTTAGAGAAAACTCCTTACACAAAGTTAAGAGTGTGTGCCTTATTTATCCCTATTTTTTTGTTTTTCTTATTTGCCGTCAAGACAAACTGTCGTCCCAAAACGGTGGATCTGCCCCGCCTCCACCGGCTCCCCGTGCGTTGGCCGCCAGCCCTGGCTCAACCGGCCCCATGCGCTCCGAGCGCTGGCCGAAATGGCTGTGGTTGCGTCCGACGGGGGCCGTGCTCTCCGTGGCTACGTCGCTGGCCGCGCGCGCCCCGGCCATGGCCGCCGGCGCCCCTGCCTCCGCGCTCCCAACCGTGGCCACCGGCCCGGCCTCCGCCGGCGCCCCGCGTGCCCTTGCCTCTGCGCCCCCGGCCGTGGCCGCCGGCCCTACCTCGGCCGGTGCCCGCCACCGCGAGCCCGGCCTTCCTGGGCGCTGAGTTGTCGGGAGGAAGAAGGCCATGGCTTTTTTGTTGGATTTTTTTCATTATGCTCCTGACACGTGGGTCTAGATGTCTGTGAGACAGAGAGAAATGCTATTGCTACAGCAAACACTTCGGTGAATCCCAGACCCACTGTAGATACAGATGAATCTGAGATTCAAATTCACTTTTTTCAACGGTGAAGCTGTACCAAGCAGGCCCGAACTTTCAATTGCAAATTAGAACCTTACTGTGTTTCCAACCTCAGCTAGAGTGAACTCAGGTAGCAGTCACAGCACGTACAAAGGAAAATCAAACACAGTCGCACAGGCGTATGGATAACTAACATAACCGACCTGGTCCAGGCTGAAATCCAGTCAAGCAAACTGGGAAAATTTCCCCCAAGGGAAACGTACCAGGGACAACAGATCACAGAACTATATCGTCCACAGCCAACAAAAACAATCTCACAGAATGATAATCCAAATATGAAGTAGTCACTAAAACCAAGAGTGTAACCCACAGAATAAAGCTTATCAATGGATAAGCGGCTTCCTCACAGAATCCTGCTCCAACAAACAGTGTCACACCTGCTAACATTTTCCGTTAGCATTAACAACAAATCCTCTTGATTCTGTTTTCAGAAAAAGAAAAGGAAACCTCTCTCCAACACTCTTCTGAGTCTGCAGCACATACTATTCAAGTGCCTGTTTCTCTTACCACAAGTTTTTGTTCAAACTCAAATGTTGCGTGCGCATAGTGGATTGCCTCCATCCATCCTTCTTTTTTTTTGTATTTTTTCATGCGCCAGACTATCATGTTTGGTAAAACGGTAGCACCAGATATGCTCTTATCGACTCATCAACATACAGGGTGTGATGGAAAATAAAAGGTGCATATATGATAGGCAGTTATGAGCTCACTCAGTATGATCTTTCAAAAGTAAAGAAACAGAGTTACTGCAACTTCTACAAATTCTAGCCATTCTAATCCATGAAGATGATGAGTTTCAGCATGAGCTATATACATCACATTGTCACAACAAAACATAGTAGCCCCATCCATATGACAAGTTATGCAAACCTTACCAGATACACTTTTGCCATTTTCAACGGAAGTATTTATCGTCTTTGTTCCTGCAAATACTGAACAACTGCTCAGAGCATTGCAATACTACTCTCTCAATAAAATCGTGCCCTGTAGAATCATGCTTCTCTAGGTCCTCAGCAGTTCTTTTCAGCGGTCCCTGAAGGTTGCCATCCAAAAGAAATTCCGCCAACACAGCCACCCTAAAGGAACAACCTCAAACACGTATAGCTTTAGAAACTGCAACAATGGCCAAAGTATTGTGCCATTGTAAGACACATAATATCATATATTACTACAAAATGTGTTTTGGATTTCGATAACTGGGTCACCATGAATAAATATATTAACTTTGGCAAAGCTTTTCCAAGATGAATCACAATTTTACTAGAAAATTCAATCAATAAACATATGCCAGTATTATGATAAAATAAAAATATTGATAGAAACAGCAAAGAGCAGACCACACTGTTGACTGAAGATGGTTTGCAGAGTTTAAAGATTCATGAATAAAAAGAAAACCACACTGTTGACTGACTATATTACAGGATATCTACTCATAGACATTAAACTAGAAACTACATACTATGTGCATAAGCTCATTCATGGGGATATACATTTAAAACTTAGGATTGGCCTCAGAACATAGTTCTGAAACTTAAAGAACTGAAGTAAATACTGGTATAACCAAATCAAAGGCCATTCCTAATATGAATACTCATTACTAACATAAATACAAATCAGGCAACTGCTAGGACAATTACAATGTTCATGACTTGCAAATTAAATGATTTATGTTTGATCTTGCCTTCAAATATCCATGTGAGTTAAACCTATATGCATGTTAAAGCTACTTACTGAATAAAACACAGTTATGAGCTAAGACAGAGTATAGAAAGCTAAAGGCTGTGTATTACTACCAAATATCCTACACAACTGCTGTCAGGCAAAAAACAGCAATACAAGTATGGGCACAAAATTGGCAATTATTCAAAGCATATGCCTTTTAACCTCCAAGGGACTCAATTTTAACAGACCTGTGTGCATCAAATTTGCTGAGTCCAGTACATCCACTTCGTCCTCCTTCAGTTGGCTGAGTTGTAAACTTTCTCTGGCGGTGAAGAGCACAAGCAGCTTGCATACAGAGCTCCTTTTTTCCTAGGCATGAGTTAAAAACATCTGAAGAAGATTTCCAGTGTCTTGTAACTGCTGAAGGCAATGAACTCTCTAATGACATTTGCTCCGACGAATGCAGCGCAGGCTGGCTTTTCCGCTGCAAGGTGGCTGACACTGGCTTATCTGATGTCGTGGGTCTGCCTCCATGAGTATCGAACGGACTCTGACAAGGACTAAGCTTACCCCCTTGTTCCCTAATTCCATCAGTTCTTGACAACACCTTTGTGTTGAGCACTTGGTCATCTGGTTTCCCTTTCTCTCTAGTATCCTTCAACACAATACTAGCTTTGTCCCCAGTTCCATTAGTTTCCAGCGACACCTTCGTCTTATGCACTCCACCAATTGCTTTCTCCTGCCCTTCGATAGACTTGAGAACGACGCTGATAGTTCCATCCGATGAAGAATCAGTGTGCTCCATGGGCGTCTCAGCACCAACTCGCGCTGATCCAACAATTCTTCTCGCCGTGTCAGTAACGCTTGGAGTTCTCACCTGAACGGGCGCATCATTCTCCGGACCAGCAACAGGACCTTGTTTCTCACCAATCCTCGCTCGGCCTTCAGAGCCATCGGGCTTGGAGCAGTTCTTGTGCGGGCTGTTCCCAGCAGTGGAACCAGTGGGCCGAGGACTCGGCATTGTCCTGGACAATCCCCCATTCTTCCCCGATTGGCCATTCCCAGTCCCCTGCACGAAAACCGCCACCTTTGGAATATCAGGGCTACCAGCCATGTGCTCAGCGACTGCTTCGGGGATTCCGCTGTTCACGGGAGAAATCACAGGCCGATCAACCCCCAAAGGTCCAGCAGAATTCGCCTGCACATCTCCATGCCCCTTCTTGGGTTCGCCATTAGCCCAAGGCTTAGCTCTCCTCCGCTTCTTGATAAGCTGGCTGAGCTGGATTTTGTCGTCCTCGTCGTCGGGTGTGCACGCTGACGCGGGTGCCTTCCTCTTGCAAGAAACCCCCGCGCGGCGCCCTTCCTCGGCCCTGGACGCGGACTCCTTCCGCTTGCAAGAAACCCCCAAAGGTCCAGCAGAATTCGCCTGCACATCTCCATGCCCCTTCTTGGGTTCGCCATTAGCCCAAGGCTTAGCTCTCCTCCGCTTCTTGATAAGCTGGCTGAGCGGGATTTTGTCGTCGTCGTCGGGCGTGCACGCTGACGCGGGTGCCTTCCTCTTGCAAGAAACCCCCGCGCGGCGCCCTTCCTCGGCCCTGGACGCGGACTCCTTCCGCTTGCAAGAAACCCCCGCGACATCGGGGCGGAACTCTTCCCCCTCCTCCAACTCGTCGTCGTCGCTGCTGCTGCAGAGGTCAATAGCGCCTTTCGGGTCCGGCTCCTCAGCGCGCCGGTCGACCCGCGGCGCCGCGGCCGCGATCGCGCCACCAGAGGAGCGGCTGCTCGGCCCGCGGCGCGCCGCCTCGATCTCGTAGCGCTCCTGCTGGGCCTGGACTTCCGCGGTCAAGTCCGCCAGGCCCGTCCGGGCCTTGGCGAGCGCGGCCTCGGCCTGGGCAAGCCAGCGGTCGCGGTCGCCGAGCACCCGTGCGGCCGCGTCGTAGTCCGCCCTGCGGCAGGTGGCGCGGAGGTGCGCCACGAGCTCCGGGCCGGAGAGGAGGGCGAGCGCGGCGTCGAGGTCGGAGGCGTCGGCGCCGGAGGACATCGTGCCGGGCGCACGTTGGTCGGTGGCGGCGTGAAGGTGAAGGCTCGAGGCGGGCCTGGGGCACGCACGTAGGAAGAAGAGAAATCGCCGGGGCGTGGGGGCGCGTCTGGGCTGAGGAGTGGATGGGGAGTTGGGGACTGGTTGGGGTTTTTGGCCTCGATTGTTGCGGTGTTGGTGGAGCGGAGAAGTGGAAGTGGGTACTATTTCGCTTCGATTGCTCCTACTGGGACTGGGACTGGGACCGTGGTGCGAGTTTCAGTCCGCGAGGAGAATCCGATTGACTGAATAACTGGTACTACTGGCCTTTTCTTTTAGCCCCCTTTGAAACATAGGATGGGAAAAAATATAGGAATAGGAAAATTGTAGGAATTGAGGTGTTTTGTTTCTCTAATCCTATAGGAACGGTAACCATAGGAAAATACATGAGGAGGCTTTTGGATGGGCAAAGGAAAAACTACAGGAATGTTAAAAGGAATCTTAGGAACAAAAATAATATTTTTTTCTTTAATCAACCTACTTTTAATCCATTCTACTCCCTTGATTAGGCGCCACCAGCAATCATTAGTCCATTATGTGCTTCGTTACTCGTGCAATTGATTTTTTCCATGAGCTCCAAGTGGATTCTTTTTTCCTCTAATTTTCCTATGGAATTGAAGGAAAAGGAAAGTTTCCTTTAGATTTCCTATGACCATTTCCTACCATCCAAAGGTCGCTAGCCTGTTTCGAACGAAGGAATCCAAAACGTAGGAATAGAAAAAAAAACATAGAAATAAGGTATGATGAAAAATAAAAAACTACAGGATTTCAAAACACAGGAACATAAAATGTAGGCTGTTTGAAACATAGGAATTTATAATATAGGAATTGTAACATGTTAGGCAAATATGGGTACTAATTACTATATCTATTAGGCACGGATATGACCCCACCATGTTCTTCTCGCCTTAATTGCTCTTTTTTCCCTCCACTTCACACACGCTACCTCGGGCTTCAGCGAAGAAAAACAAAACAATGGATCAGACTGGATTCTTTCATTCCTGTGAAATTGCTTTGCAGCTACAGTATTCTAGAGGAACGGTTTGGGCGATTCCTCCGTTCCAAACGCTCACATGAGTTTACTTTCCTCTGTTTCTGATTCCTGCAATTTTCCTATGGTATTCCTTCGATCCAAACACAGCCTAAAGGAATTCATTCCCATGGAATCTTAATCCTATGTTTTTCCTTTATTTCACCTCCGTTCCAAATGGAGCCTTAATCTTTTCAAAAGCACATCTGCAAATGCTGTAGAAACAATGCCGTTCTACGCAAACACTAAGAAGGGTCGCTTTGAGTTGTAAAATAGGTTGATATAAGTTATGTGATGTGAAAAAATTGTAACATGTTTGGTGAAACAACTATGAAACCTGTCTCCTTTTCTATCTCTTCTTGAAAAGGTTGGGAAACATCTTTATATTGGCACTCATTTGAAAAAAAAAACTAGAAAGTTGAAAGGCAAAAATAAAGTCCAAGGTGCTAGAAAAAATATACTACAACTTCTGATTCTGTTTAGTTGGGGTTCTTTTTTTTTCCTGTTCGCTTGTCTTAAAAACCATACTTTTTAGCTTATTTTTTTCAGCCGAAACAGTGTTTTTCTCTCACAACAAATTAGCCAAACAATATTTCGGCTTATTTTTTCAAAGCGAACGGAGCCTTTATACCAAAAACACTTTTCAGAAGCTAACCAAAACACAGCCTAAAACCCTGGACGCTACATCCCCTCGAGTGTTCTTGCTATTTGGTGCAGATAAGCACTCCTACAACAAAGACAAAATCCTTCTCTAGCTACAAGCCTACAAGGATTACTAACGTTTCTTTTTTATTTTTGTCTCCAGCAAGATTTTTTTAAAAACTTTTCATCAAAAGGTTTTCTTTGAGAACTTCTCATTTAGAAATAGTATCATGAAAGATTTTCAAACAAGTTTCCTTTAAATTGCTTAGTATATACAGATAAAAAAATTAAAAATTAACCGACATGAGCGCTTGTGAATGGGAGTTAGACTTGAGTATCTTTGCTCAGTCAAGACTGCAAAACATAAATCCGGATAAATTTTGTGCAGCCCGAACCAACAGGCATTGTCTAAAAGTATGCATAATAATACTGCTGGTCGTACATATATTTATAGTTCAGTATCAATTCGCTAATATAGCACTTGCTACTTGCTAGCACATATTTCATCGTTAATACATGGTTCGTTTTATTTTCTCATAAAAATTTTAAAGCTTGTGAGCTGTAAACTTACATTTCATAACTTTTCTCTCTCCTCACTCAACAAAGATAAAATATCAGTAATGGTGAGTACAGGGCGTTCGTTCACCCGGATGGTGCCGATAGTGGGCCGTGACGCAGCCCAACGACGGCTCATCCACTCGCCCTCGCCCCCAACCATTCTAAAAAAGAAACTTTCTTATCCCTTCCCCTCCATCCTCTCCACCGCAGCGCCTTGCGGCTACCACTCTGTCTGTCCCGAACGTGGATGCCACTCTGCCTCGTTGCTTCCACGTGCCCCATCCATGGCCTTCGCCGCCTTCGTCGCGTCGCGCTTCTTCTCCCTCCCCGTCACACGCCGCCCACCCACCCGCCCGAGCCATGACGGTGCTTAGGGCGCTGGTGGTCTGCGTCTGCCATACCGGTGCTAGTGCGCCCACCTCACCGAGCTAGGCCCATTCTTTGGTGGCGGTGGTGCTGCCCGCCCGCCCGCTCCTGCCGCTCCTTCCTCCTCGGTGGTTTGGAATCGACCGCCCCGACTTCCCTCCCCTATGTTGCATATGTATGTTTCAATTGTTTCAGATGTACAATGCAATTGGTCCATTTTGATGTTATAGATCGAGGGATGTTGCACATGTTGCATATGTTGCAAGTGTTTCAAATGCATGTTGTAAGCATTTATTCAAAATGTTTCATCTTGTTTCCAAACGCATGTTGCAATTATTTTTTATCTAGATGTTACATATGTTTCACACATATGTTGCAACAGTATGTTCCAAAAATGTTTTAGCTGTTTTAGTCTTAGGTTGCAGCAAGTGGTTTCATGTTGCAAGTTGCAAGTGTTATTTTTTTTATGTTTCATATGTTCCACACACATGTTGTAAGTGCATGTTTCAAGTGTTTCATCTATTTTCAGACGTATGTTGCATTCAATTTTTTTTTCATGTTGCAAGTATTTTATGTTGTTTGGCGGGGGTGAGTAGGGGGGTAGGTGGATGGTGCGCGCGGCGTGCGGGGGGAGCTGCAGATGGGGGAGCTAGGGCGGGCGGACGGGTGACACCGGGTCCCGGCTCTCGGGTGCCGCTCGCACGAGAGAGAGAGAGGAGCGGGTCTGGGAATGATCGGCGGACGCAGATACGGGGGCGGAGTACACATGTGGGGCGGGGTGAAGCCAGATGAGGGTGGGGCGATAGCGGACCGGGGCGGGCTGTCAGGGCACTAGCCATGTCGATAAAATATACATAGGTCATGTTTGACAGAACTCTAGCTCTAAAAAAAATCTTTTGATTTTCCTAGAGCTGGTTATTCGTAGCTAGAAAATTGTGAGTTTAGAGCTGCTGACTGATTTCAGTCATTTTAGAGATCTCGAGGCTGGAGCTGCACCGAAGGGACTCTCATATAGTCATAGCCCCTTATAGTTGCAGTCTTGCAGAAGAAAAGCCAGAAATCGATCACCTATGATGGGCCTAATTTATTGCGCTAGGCCTTTTGATTCATGGGATGTTAATGCCTTTTTCAGTACCGGGTCCGCCCGTGACACGAGCCGAAACCTTACGGGACGGGATTACGGCCCACCGTCCACGCACATCAAATGAGAGTGCCCCCCAAAAAAAAAATTGTGAGTAGTACTAGTAGATGCCAGTAGAGATGGCGGACGGGGTCGCTACTACTCGCTCGTCGCTAATCGACCACTGGAACTGGAGTGCCATGTGGCCCGCGTGGCGGAATGCGAGTTCGGCCGTATGCTCTTGCTCTGCTCCAGTCTCCAGTTTCCAGGTCATTTTTCCTGAATCCTGAGATGGCAGGGTAGTTGCATTGCATGTAGTATCATGTATGGAGACAAAGACAAGTGCTGGAACAGCAACAGCTCATCTAGTCGCTGCATGCGCCTCTAGCGCATACTACAGTATGCTCACATGCACCTCGTACAGTACGCGACACAGGTGTAGTGCCGCAGCTAACATGCTCGCTCGCACAAGCCACAAGGGCTGTCTTTTTCTCGCACCCCCCTACAGTAGAGGCAACGGAGCCGCCCCTCACAGTCACAGCACAGGTCACGGTCACATGCTCCGTCGACGTTCCGTTGCAGGCCAGCCACTCACACCCCACACACTGATCGATCGACAGTGGGCTTGTTGGCTTGGTCTTTGGTCTGCATTTAAATTGTATTTGAGTCTTTTTTTTTTTAGAGAAAAACACTATCGACTAACTAGCTTGACTGAATGACCGAAACCCATGTAAAGCAGAAAGACAAGCGAACAGACAAAGTGGCCAGATCTATCTGGATCCGGTGCAGTATTTGATCGGTCTAGTGGGCAGTATTGGAATATTCTTTTTTTTTCCCCACCGGCATTCCTCCACCGAGAGTCCGAGACCGATCCAGAGAATATCAAGCTATCAACTCTGCACTGCTAGCTCCAAAGTTGCAGAAATTCTTGAGAAATCCGAAGCATTCCTGATTAACTCCTGCCCTAAAAATTCTACATGGGGCTTGTTTAGATGCAAAAAATTTTGAAAAATGAGTACTGTAGTATTTTCGTTGTTATTTGGCAAATAGTGTTCAATCATAGTCTAATTAGGCTTAAAAGATTCGTCTCGTGGATTTCGTCTAAACTGTGTAATTAGTTTTATTTTTTATTTATATTTAATGCTTCATGCATGCGTTTAAAGATTCGATGTGACGGAGAATGTGAAAAATTTTGCAAAATTTTTTGCAAACTAAAACTGGACCATGGTATACAAACGGCATTTCGCT